GTTTTACACAATGGAATATTACTCAACCATTAAAAAGAATACATTTGAATCAGTTCTAATGAGATGGATGAAACTGGAGCCCATTATACAGAGTGAAGTAAGCCAGAAAGATAAACACCAATACAGTATACTAACGTATATATATGGAATTTAGAAATATGGTAATGATAACCCTATATGCAAGACAGAAGAGACACAGATGTACAGACTCTATGGGAGAAGGCGAGGGTGGGATGATCTGAGAGAACAGCATCGAAACATGTATATTATCAAGTTTGAAACAGATTGCCAGTCCAGGTTGGATGCATGAGACAAGTGCTCAGGGCTGATGCACTGGGATGACCCAGAAGGATGGGATGGGGAGGGAGGTGGGAGGGGGGTTCTGGATGGGGAACACATGTAAATCCATGGCTGATTCATGTCAATGTATGGCAAAAAACACTACATTATTGTAAAGTAATTAGTCTCCAACTAATAGAAATAAATGAAAAAAATAATAAATTTAGTTCACAAAGTGTAAGTGGTACTTTTCTGGTTGTCAGTTGGTGGTACTTGTGAGGGCTTGAATCTGGAGATCATATGGGAGGGGTGGTGATGAGGGGACAGAAGTAAAATAAAAAAGTGATGCATGTATATATATTTCATTGCCCTCTTCTAGTAAGTGATGTGGCCCATTCTTACATTCCTAGAATAAACCCAATGGAATACAGCTGCTGCTGCTGCTAAGTCACTTCAGTCGTGTCCAACTCTGTGCGACCCCATAGACAGCAGCCCACCAGGCTCCACCGTCCATGGGATTCTCCAGGCAAGAACACTGGAGTGGGTTGCCATTTCCTTCTCCAATGCATGAAAGTGAAAAGTGAAAGTGAAGTCACTCAGTCGTGTCTGATTCTTAGCGACCCCATGGACTGAAGACTACCAGGCTCCTCAGTCCATGGGATTTTCCAGGCAAAAGAGTACTTGAGTGGGGTGCCATTGCCTTCTCCAAATGGAATACAGAGATGAGATTAAATTGTCACATTCATATACAGAATATTATATAACCTTTAAAATGTCATAGAAATAACAGGGAGATGATTTTTCTGTCTTTGAGAGCAGCAATGATGAAATTATTGATACCGAATGTTGACAAGTATATGAAGAAATAGACACTCATGCATCATGGGTTGAGGGGACATATTTTGAAGGTCAGTAAGCCAATATATGTCAAAATTTGAAAATATCCATGAGAAGAAAAGCACCCTCTGAAATCCAGGAGCTGGCCCAGCACTCACAGTTAAGCCTTGGTGTTCTTTCCTTGAATACAAACACTTTCACAGAACATTAACATCTGATAAGGCCACTCTGAGACTGTGACCTATCAAGAGAAAAACAAGCTCACTCTGTGATCACGTATAAGCACAGAGAAATATTTCCCAATCACAAAAATGGCCAAATATCCTCCTATTCTGGCTAATGTAAGTGGGTGCTGCTTCTTTACCTATCATAACTTCAGCCTTGGCCTTGTCTTCCCCATTTGTAGAACAAGGTTTACTTAGATACCAAATAGTAGAATTACAGTTGATCCCTGAAAAACATGTAGGTTAAGGGAGCTGACCCTCCATGCAGTTGAAATTTGTGTATAACTTTACAGTCGGCCCTCCTTGTATGCTATTGCACATTCATGGATTCAACCAACCACATTCATGTAGTACTGTAGTACTATTTATTGAAAAAAATCCACATAGTTCTAACTCGTGTTCTTCAAGACTCTACTATACTCATATTTCCTAACAGCTTTCTATCTGCAGCAAAGCCTTCCTTAAACCCTCCTCCAAATTACCAAACACAAGTTCTAATCTTAAAATAAGTTGTTTCTAAAACCCCCTTACTGAAGCACACCAGGATGTGTGTTCTTCCTCTCTGTAACCTGACTTGTTCAAATAATGGTGGTTTTTGGCTGGAGGGCATTGCCATTCACAATCTTTGACAAAGTAGTTCTATTTCAAGACATTTGTCATACAGAAGTGTTCAAACAGGCATGAAAACATAAACAATGATGCATCAATTTTCACAGGAAAAAAGAATATAAAAATACACTTAAGAATAAGTATATGAAAGAATAAGCTAATAAGCATGTTGCATAAAAACTATAAAATGCTGCTGAGAGAAATTAAAAGAGACATAAATAGAAGATTCATTGTTAAGATGTCAGTTCACCCCCAAATTTATCTATTGATTCAAAGCTATCCCAATCAAAATCCCAGCTGGAGTTTTTATAGAAATGGACAAGATGACTATAATATCATATGGAAAAGCAGAGTAATAATAACCCAAATAACTGAAAAATAATAGAAGACTCACACTGCTTAATTTCAAGATATTATAAAGCTACAATCATCAAGACAATGTGGATTGTAATGAAGATACATAAGTAGATCAATGGAAGAAAATAGAGTCCAGAAGTGGACCCATCACATACAGAGACAGGTGATTTTTGACAAAGATGCAAAGGCAGCTCAGTGGAGAAAGAAGAGTCTTTAAGCAAATGATACTGTAACAAGTGGATATCACCATGCCAAAATTGAACGTCAACCTATGTATGTGCACCATATACAAAAAACTCAAAATGGATATTTTTATAGATTCCATGTATATGGAATATGTATTAACATATACATAATACACATAAAATATGTATTAACATACAATATTAGTTTTTCCTCTTTATGACTTACTTCACTCTATATAATAGGCTATAGGTTTCTCCACCTCAGTTTAACTGACTCAAATTCATTCCTTTTTATTGCTGAGTAATATGCCACTGTATACATGTACCATGGCTTCTTCATCCATTCATCTGTCAATGGACATCTAGGTTGCTTCCACGTCCTGGCTATTGTAAATAGTGCTGCAATGAACATTGGTGTACATATGTCTTTTTGAAATATGGTTTCCTTAGGGTATATTCCCAGTAGTGGGATTGCTGGGTCATATGGTAGTTTCATTCCTAGTTTTCTAAGAAACATTCATACTGTTCTCCATAGTGGCTGTATCATTTTACATTCCCCCCAACACTGTAAGAGGGTTCCCTTTTCTCCACATCCTCTCCATCAATATTCATGTTGCAGAAATCAACACAACATTGTATAGCAATTAACTTCCAATTAAAAAATGAAAAAAATGGATCATAGACCTAAATATGAAACCTAAAACTGTAAAACTTGTAGAATATAAGATAGAATCTTTATGACCTTGGTTAGGCAATAATTTCTTATATATAACACCAAAACACAACTGATATAAGAATTGTTCTTCATTAAAATGAAAAACTTCTATTCTCCAAAAGACATTTTTAAGAGAATAAAAAGACAATTCACAAACTGGGAGAAAATATTTGTAAAACTTATATCTAATAATATACTTATATCCAGCATATATACAAAGAACTCTTAACATCAACAACAAAAAGGGACCACTCAATTTAAAAAAGGGGGCAAAATATTTATATATATTGATACTTCATTCAATATATATGGATGGCAAATATGCCTATGAAAAGATGTTTAACATCATTGGTGATTATAGAAGTGCAATTTAGAACCACAATGAAATATGGCTAAAATTATAAGACCAGTCATATCAAATGTTAGGAAGGATGTGAAGGAATCAGAACTTTCACACACTGCTATGAGAATGTAAAATGGTACAACCATTTTGGAAAATGTAAAAGTTAAATGTATACCTACCATGATTCAGTCATCTCACTCCTAGGAATTTATCCAAGAGAAAAACAATGCATATGTCCATAATAACAGTTCTACATGAAATGGTTGCAGCAGCTCACATCTGGAAACAGCCCAAATGTCCATTAACAGGTGAATGGATAAACTGTGTAAATGGTGGTATAGCCATATAGTAGAATACTACTTGGCAATGAAAAGCAATGAACTATTGATACATGTAACAACTGACATGGGTCTCAAATAATTATGCTGAATGGATAAATATGTGGTGTATATATATATATATGTACACACACACAAATAGAATATGACTCAGCCATTAAAAAGAATTTGAGCGAGTTCTACTGAAGTGGATGAACCTAGAACCTGTTACAGAGTGAAGCAAGTCAGAAAGAGGAAAACAAATAATGTGAATCAACACATATATATGGAGTCTAGAAAAATGGTATTGATGAATCTATTTACAGGCAAAGAATGGAGATGCAGACATAGAAACCTGACTCGTGCACAGAATGGGGTAAGAGTCGGACAGAGAAAGTAACATTGACATATATACACTACCATGTGTAAAATAGCCAGTGAGAAGTGGCTCTATAACACAGGGAGGTCTGTGATGACCTAGAGGGGAGAGATAGAGGGAGCAGAGGGAAGCTCAAGAGGGAAGGGATAATATGCACAATTATGGCTGATTTGCAATGCTGTATGGGAGAAACCAATACAACATTGTAAAGCAATTTTCCTCAAATTAGAAAATAAAAAAGAAATGAGATCTCCTTCCCTCCAAAAGAATATATGTTGTATGATTCATTTTATGTAAAACTACAGAAAATGAAAATGACTCTATATTGTCAAAATACAGATTAGTGGTTGTCTGGGACAGCATAGGGAGAGATGGGAAGGAGAGATTACAAAGGGGCATGACAAAACTTTTGGAGGCGATGGATATGTTTGCTATCTTGATTATGGTGATAGTTTCATGTCTATATACATATGTTAAAACTTATCAAATTGTATACTTTAAGTATGTAGGGTTTGATGTATGTCAACTATATCTCAATAAAGCTATTAAATAAAAAGCATGTGGTAGATATGCAGAATACTAAATTGGAAAGATAACTGAAAGGACAAAAAGGCAAGTTGCAGAATACCGTAGTCTTATTATTATAGGAGAATAAATTTATGCACACTATTTAGAGGATATGCAATGGAAGATTATAGAGTACTATGCACCAAATGTTAACATAAGAAAAACTTTAAATAAGAGATTCAAAAATATTTGTATAAGTCTATTTATTGATACGGAGAGATGGTCACAAGAGACAGTAGAGGACAGGGAGAAGGCAAGTTACAAACAGTATTTACAGTATGGTACTGTTTCATTTTAACTGTTTAACAATCTCAAAGTATATAACCCAATATTTTTATATACCGAGACATTCACTTCAACTCACATAAGAGGTTCTAATTCCTACCATGAGTTTTAGAAAACAGAACTATAGTCCAAAAGTCCTAGAAATGCTTTCTGGGCCACAGACCTTCAGGAATCACTATCATGTAGACTGAGGCATCAGCTTCTCTCCTAGCTTTCCTGTTTTGTGTTGACGAAGCTGCAGTTCTAGGCCTGGGCCTAAATTTCTCCAATTAAGTTTATCCTGTACAGTTTTAGCTTGTATAAATGCAGAGAGTAGGCTTGCCTACCAATAAAAGATCAGTTCAGTTCAGTCGCTCAGTCGTGTCCAACTCTTTGCGACTCACAGGAGAATAGATTACAAATGGTAAACAAATTAAGGTAGCTTTGCAAGGAGGAAGAAAACAATTATCTTTTAAAACGTAAGGTATGAAACAATGTACAGAATGATTCTAGTTCTTTGGAGGGAGAAAGTACATACAGATTGAAACCCATAAGGTCATACAGCAAATTTCAGTTGTTTTGACTCCAAATTTACATCTTATCCATTCAACTGTTTAGGGCACCAACTGTTTCCCAGATACTACCAGTTCAAATCCATACACATTCATCCTAGACTTTTCTTCTAACTCCAGCAAGATTTAGCCTAATGGACATGTGCATTCAGAGGAAGTTAAGAATTGCAAGACTGGCAGGAGCATTACCTAGAGCAAAATTTAATCATTAAAACCAATCTGTGAGCCTTGAAGCCTGCCACACAAAAAAGTAGAAGAGGGCTATAAGGTAGTGGGGCAATGAGAGTCGGTTTGGTATCAGACAAAACAGCAATGCCACTTATCTGCCATGTAAATCTAGGAAAAATGATTTAACCTCCCTAATTCTCATTGGAGGTGATCCAAAACAATGAGTTATAATCATAAAAAAAAATACCAGTATGTAGCTCAGAGAACCATTGTTGAAAAGAGGAAACCTGTAATATGTAGTGCTACACAGTTACTGACATTAACAGTAGGTACTCTGGAAATTGTTTCCTCTCTACACCTACCTCCTTTCTCATCTGTATGACTTGACATAAATGAAATAGCCAAAAAATGAGTTATAAATGTAGTTATCAAAACAAAAATGAATATTACATTTTATCTGAGATTCAGAGCCATCTGTATGTTGTAGAATGAGTTATCTGATTCAGGTAGAATAGGGGAAAAACAGTAATTCCTTTTACATTAAACAGCCTGTAGCAAGCAACTCTGCCTTTATATATAGAGAGTGCACATTTGGCAATGAGCATGTATGGTATACATATATGTATGTGTACATATATACATGAGTATATGTGTATCATTAGATATCTTTTTGTGTATATGCCTTGTTTATGCAACTAGTTTATAAATTCAAGGATATTATCTTTTTTAATCATTTGAAGCTGCAAATGGATTTAAGCAGATACTAATGAACAAGTTTAGCTTACTTATGATGCACCAGTTTTCTATTTTAAGTAAAATGTTAAAAAGCTCTCCATCTACACAAGATAATAACTGTTAGATGTTTTCAACTCATAATGAAACACTGACACCCCAAAATGGTCTAGCTCAGGCTTAGACTGTCACAGGTAATATTGTGTTAAAGATGTAATTCATAACATGCACACTGTAATAACGAAAACATTATGCATGGCTCTTTGGGAACAGACAGCCTATTCGAGTGTGTAGATTGTTCAAAGCATTCTCTTATTTCTAGCTCATCTTACATTGTTTCAATGATCACTTTAACTTCACGGAAAATGGCCATGAGTGTAGTATAACTGGAGTGATCAACAACTACAATCGAGCCCTTTCTGATATGCTCTTTTATGTTAATAAATATGGCCACAGCACTAACGAGATTAGCTTTTGCCTCTTTCTGGTTAAAGATGAGTTTTAACGCTGCTAATGATTCTGTATTGGTCATATCTCTGGCTGCAGTTGGATTTTCAGACATATTCAAAAGTACTTTCAAAACAAGATTTCTAGTTTTACGATTTCCGAGGGACAGTAAATGGAAAAGCTCTGAAAAGTAATTGGCAACAATGTGATGATGGTTAGAATCAGTAGTCAGTTGTCCTAGTATCTTTAATCCAGACTGCTGTCCAGGTGAATTCAAGGGAAAAGATATGGTTTCTTTACACATATGCTTAACATGTAATTCAACCTTGCGTTGTCTTTCATCCCCAGAGGGGGGATTCAGGGTAATGACAGCTTTTTTTCTCATTTCAGAGGAAGGAAAACTGAGCAAGCTTTCAATAAGTGTCACTACACCCACCTCATTAATGAACTCTTGAGCAAATGGATGAACATTAATGATCCCCATTGCAATTTGAGCTATTTTATGAATGAGAGGATCAGTAGTTGACTTAAGTAAGGTAATAAGTCTTTCAAACTCCTCAGAATCCATGTAGCATTCCATCTTGCAAGGGCAAGCAAATGGCTTAATCCCATTCACCTCCCTGATCCTGATTTGGCGCCTAATTTCCTCTATGGTCTGGATGCAAGGGTCAGAACCAAATGGGAACTCAGAGACAGGCTGTGAGCTAGAGGGAGTGCTTCTAGAAGGGCATGCTGCCGCTGTTGCCACAGGCGAAGAACGGGTATTTTCCTCAGCAGAGGCCAGGACAACATATGAAGGCGGCTTTTTCTCAAATGTGACTTGGGATCTAAAGCCTAACACTGCTGGAGTTACGGCAGGAGCTTTGGGCCATATAGTTACCTCAGACCAGTCCTTGGGCCTATCTTTTTCATTAATTTCATCCACAGGCTGAGGTTTAATTATCCTGCTCACAGGTCTAGGGTTAGGATCAAAACTAGTTTCATCTCCGTCCCAAAACCAGCTCCCAATAACGTTCTCCTCCTCCTCCTCCTTCTCCTCCTCAGCTCCTAGCCTAGCCTTACAGCTGGTCCCAGCCAGAGGCTCCAACTTAGCACAGGATGGGGGACCAGTATCAGCTTTACCTTCATCTTTAGCACTGAAATGTTTACCAATCTCTTCTCCATTCCAGAACCAGGAACCAACATTGGCCTCTTCTCCAGCCCCAAACCAGGTATTAATACGAGTCTTATCTTTACATGTAAACCTGGACTCAGCAGTAGCCTGAGCCGCAGAACAAAATCGAGCTGCTCTAACAGCCTCATCTTCAGCTTTGGGACGGACATCTAGCAGATGTTCTTTCATCTCAGTAACAACCTTGTTCTTAGACGCTGCCTTCACCACTGCCACTGCATCTGCCCGAGGCCCTGCCTTGGTTATAGCTTTGGTCTGGGTCTTGGCTGCACCAGTAGCCTCCCTCTTTCCTTCAGCTGATCTGACTGTATCAGTGGCCTCCCTTTTTCCTTCAGCTTCTACAACTGCCCTTTTTTCAGTTTTTGTCTTCTTTTTATTCTCATTCTTTCTATTCCTATTCCTTCTACTCTTAGCTCCAGCCATAGCTGAAGCCCAGTTATATAGATAGCTCTACACAGTCTTGGGCTTGGTTCTCAATATGTCTTGGGTCAGTGTCTTAATATTCTTTTACTAGGTTGAAGGTGATGATCTTCTGTCACTCGAAAGCCACCACAGCTAGCACTGGAGATAGACCTGAGGTGGAAGAAGAAAACGAGCTTTCAGTCTCTTCCAACTGCATTTTTCTATGCAGAAAGTCACACAGAATGTGAGAGTACAGATGGACTGTGTTGTAAGAGTAGAATAGTAGAAAAAGTTTTTTACCTAATTTTATCCCTATCATAGTCCCATTAATGCCCAACAATGCCCTGTCCAAACACTTTTCTTTTCTCTGCATCAAATAGGAACAGAGATGATGAGAAAGTTTGGTGAAAGTGAGCAAGACTAAGGGGTATAGCCCATTTGGAATATACCACTATACTCTACAGGTCTATCCTGGTATGCCTCACACCAACCTGCACGGATATGGTGGAATTTTCTCCTCTTCTCTTGCTTCTGGTGTTGATAAGGCCTATAGCCAACTCACAGGTGGACCTATGAACAAAAACACAGAAGGGATTGGAACTTTAAGCATCTGGTAGACAGATATGGGCTTCTAAATCCAATACATGTCTTTCTAAATCTAGAGCTTTGTTTCTGGCCTCCTTGATCCTCTTCCATGTTATCCTTCTCCACTTCATGGTTATCTATCAATTGCCCTATAGGCACAACTGTGTCTTATCCCATCCCCATTTCCTATACATAAATGTGAGGGCAAAGGTGTGTGGGAAGTTGGGATACAATGGCTTCAAGATATGATCTGCTCTTACTTGTCAATAGCAATTCCCACTCCCAATCAATGAAGGTGCTCATGCTCACATTCACCTTGGATTCAAATGAATAGCTTTGGTCCTCTTTCCTAATCAAGTTCAAAGAGAACAGCTACCTGCAGATTTCTACAGGACTCTAAAAAGAACAAACCTATGAAAGACAAAAAAATAGGAAAGAAAACAGAAGAGACTGAGATGACCTAACACCCATCACAAGTGTTACAACACACGCTTCTATATATACAAGGCCATGAAAAATGTCTCCCATCTCTCTGCTCTTCCCAAGTGATCTCCCATCCACTCCCCTGCTAGAGACCTGCAGCTTGTCTAATCACACCACCCAACTCTAAAGTCAGTCATTTTCCTAGCAGAGGCTACATATCCTCCCTTGAACAAAAATATGAGATGCAAGAGTGGGTAGTGGAACATAGGCAACTGTATTTAGAAGGGAGGCAGTGAAGATAATGGGGGCTATCACTTCAATACCATCCTGCATGCCGTGGCCTTTTCCCCTTCCCCACACATACATAGTTCCTACCTCATTCACCACCTATGCCAGCCAGGCCACACAGCAGGTGTTTTCAGGAGATGCTATCTTTACCACTACAGAACAGTCCACTAGCTGAAGAGTCACACCCTGCATAAAAAGGAGGGACATTCAGTAAAACACCAAAACAGTATGTTGACAATGGTATAAGAGTATCAGGTTAATGAACAGATTCCCAAAATTCAGGTCCTAAAATGTCCTTCTGAAGACTCAAGGAATAAGTAAATAAACGTCTCTCACCTTCTAGAAATTGATGCCCACTCCCAGTAAGTCCAAAAAATCTGTGGGACTGCTTCTCCACCAAAATGAGAGGGGCTCTGAAGGGAAAATGGGTTTGGGTTTCCAGAACCAGAAACTGAACGGGCAGACTGACTTCATGTGTTCTAAACTGACCCTGCAGAAAATTTTCCTCTATTCTGAAGAGCCATTCCCACACTTCAACATATTCAAGTGCGCTAGGATGTTCAGAAACCAGGTTCCAAACGAGAAACGTGGATTAATACATTGTTTATTTATATGGATTCTTCCTGTGAAAGCCTACGGACTCCTCACCATGTCATCTGATTGCATTTGACACGTGCAAGAGCTAAATACGGAAGGCAATTAAACAGTCGTATTAAGAAGCAACAAATTTGTCATTTTGGTGTCTTCATAATCTACGCGCTCAGTTCCCCTTCCATTGAAGTCGCCAGATCAACTGCGCAGACAGGAGACTGACATCAAAGAGATGCCTGTGGGAAGGGACCGCACCCGGCACGAGGGGTCTAACAGGCCCCTTGGCAGAATCATAGCCCGGGCTGCTCCAGTCCCGGCTCCAGCGGCCTCCCTGGAGCCCCCACTCGGGCTCCCTCCGCCATTTCGCCCACAGCAGGTTCCCGCACAGCCCTCTCCCCGCACAGGCACCGTCGAGGGCGGGGCACAGTTATCCGGGAAGCCCGCCAGGGACTAGTCCGCGCCGTACACCTCCCCAGCATCCGAGGGAGCCCCTGCGGCCAAGACCCGGCCCCGGCCGCGCCGGTGGCCGCCTTCTCAGCGCCAGTGGTCTCCCGGCGCTAAGGAGCTCTCTAAGGGTTCAGCTCCGACAATCTCGAGTCCCCGTCCTCAGGCTGCCAAGGACAGGCTGTGAGCTGGTCGTCGCCCCGCGACACCCTCACTTGCCTTCGCAGGCGCAAGGTCTCGGTGGTCGGCCTCCCCACTCCAGTCGCAGCTCCTCTCTCGCTTCCTACGGCTCACCGTGCGGGCAAAATGGCAAAGGGGGCTCCCGCCCCCCGCGCCGCTGTGTCAAATCCGGCAGGAGCTGCACAGGTTGCGGTGCCGACCGCTCCCAGCGTGAGTATTGGGAAGGGGGGCGGAGGGATACCGCACGAATAGACTAGACGCCCCCTCCCAGGCCCACCTTAGTTCCGACCCAGAGGGGGCGTGGCCTGGAAGAACGCCAGCCTGAGGGGCGGGGCCACGCCATAAGGCCCGCCAGCCTTCCGCCACCCTGCGCCGCCCTCCTTGCGGTGACCACCTCCACGCTTCTGGCCCGGCAGCTTTAGAGTGGTCGCGGGCCGGGGCTGGGAGGGTCGCGAAGGGTCGCACTGCAGGGAGCAGCGGATGGATACAGGCCGCCCCGCAGTGTGTGTGTGTGTGTCTGAACCCGCAGACTGTTCGGTGTCCGCCCCCTCCCTTCCCCCATCACGCCAGCCATCCTTCTTGGGCGCGGGTGGCAGGGGGGCTGCTTTCACCTTCAGGGGCCGCGAGCTGGAGGAAAGTGGGAGGGGGAGCCGTGGAGGCCGAGCCCCCGCCCCTCTTCTAAGGGAGGGCAGCCCCTGATAGACCCCTGGCTGAGGAGACAAACCACTTGTCTGTGCCAGTGTCCTCATTCTTTCTGCCACACTGCTGTTGTCTCAGTCGCTGTGGTGGCACACTTTACCATTTCACTGTCCCCACAGTTGCCCAGGAAAGAGGACCTTTGCTTGACAGGACCCGCACCTGCTCAGACAATCCTCTTTCTCACTCCACAGCCAGGGGTCAGGCACCATGTAGGGGCAGTCCTGGCTCCTCTTCCTGGCTCCTGTCACGTCTTCTTTTGCAGGGGATTCCAAGGGCTCATCATCTTTGGCAGGGTAGGAATATGCCAAGGATTAGAACCAACTGGGATCTCACAGGCTTGCCATTCACACCAGTCTAGTTTTATCTACTATGGCTATTAACATATTAATCATAGGGAATCCAGAAGAATAGTACTGATGAACCTATTTAAGAGAAGAAATGGAGATGCAGACACAGAGAATGAACTTGTGAATGCAGTGGGGGAAGGAAAGGCTAGGGCAAATTGAGAATGTAGCATTGACATATATACACTATCAGGTGTAAAATAGCTAGCAGGAAGCTACTGTATAACAAACACAGGGAGCCCAGCCTGGTGCTCTGTGATGACCTAGAGGGGTGGAAGGTGTGAATTTGGGGGAGCCTCAAGAGGGAGGGGATATATATAGTAAATATATAACATATATAATTATAACTGATTGGTGATGATATAGTACAGAGACAACCACAATATTATAAAGAAATTATCCTTCAATTAAAAAACCAAGTTAATCATGTTTATTTAAATTGCCAGTTTGATAATCCCTAAATCTGCATTACATCTGAGCCTGGTTCTGATGCTTTGTATCCTTAAACAACGCTTTTTCTTGCCTTTTAGTACATCTTGTAATTTGTGTTGAAAGTTGGATGATGGTACTAAGAACTGAGGTAAACCGACTTTTAGTAGCAGTTGGGCTGTGCATAATGTTTGCTGTAACTGTAGGTGCCAGTCTTCAAATTACCCTAGCCTCTATTTTTGTCTTTCCTCTTAACTTTGGGCTTCCCTAATTATATCTTGCAGAGAAAGTCTGCATTTGCAACTCTTTCAGCTGCACTTCACTGTTACTGTACTGGAGGCCTGTTAGCATGTGGAGGAGAGGAAGTGTTCTATAATCTTACGTTTAAATTCCAGTCTTTTGTGGGCCTGCGCCTCTTGATTCTGCCCTTCACAAGTGTTTTCTTTAGTGTCATTCTTCTCCTTACAGGAGAATGGAAGGTTAGAGTGGGCTGGATATAAGGAATGCCTTTCCCTTAGCTGGGATAATGTTCTGAGAGTCTTTTTCACTGGGGAGTAGCCCTTTGTTATGGAGAAGACTGGGGAGTGTATTTCTTGAGTGTACACTTCCCCTCCCACTGCCAGAGCCCTGAGATCTTTCTGGTATCTTCACTATGAGTTCCTAGAGGTAAAGTCCACTGCAGGTCCCTTAGGGGTTTCTCATTCTCATACTATTCCACCCTCAGTCTCCAGCAGTTTGTAAAAATTCCCACTTAAGTGTTCTTCCCTGTTTACGTCTCTAGCAGTTTCTGCTTTATGTAGAGAGATATAGGCTGTGACTCTCCGATTTGTCTTTTCTCCAGAATTTGGGGTGGTCATCTGCCTTTTGACCTCAGTTCTATGATGGTTCTAAGTCACTGATTCTCAGTTTGTTCAGAGTTTTTCTTGTAAGTACAGGACTTCTAAGCTCTTTGCATGTCAGAACTGAAAGTGTGGCCTAGGGATTTTAACAGGGTAACTAAAGATCAGTGAACACAGCTTTCATTCTCTTCTTTTCAGCTGAACTTCAGATCTGGAAATAAAGTTGCTCTTGAAAACCTAGCTGCTCCATGAATATTCGCTCTTTTCTCTCCCAAGTATAGAAAATTTACATGACTCTCTGAACTTGGCATCTTAGCCCCCAGATTCTTAATGTGGAGTGCAGATTAGAATTCAGACTTCCTGAATCAAAGATCTGGTGAGGTCTGAACATCTGTGACTTAACCCCTGGAGAAAAGCATCTCTGTTACCACCACCACCATAAAGAGGCGATGCACTGCACTACTAGGTGCTTTTGTAGATTAGAGTAGTGAGTAAGCTCTGTAGTGAGTGATAGTCACTCAGTCATGTCCAACTCTTTGCAACCTCATGGACTGTACAGGTTCCTCTGTCCGTGGAATTCTCCAGGCAAGAATATTGGAGTGGGTTGCTGTTTCCTTCTCCAGGGCATCTTCCTGACCCAGGGATCAAAGATCTCCTGCACTGCAGGCAGATTCGTTACCATCTGAGCCACCAGGGAAGCCTACTATTAAAGAGACATTTCCAAGTATAAAGACAGGTCATCTTAAAAAGTATCAGCAGATAAAGCCTTGACTTTATCTTATAATCTATAGACAATATGTTAGAATATGTAATGAATCCATACACCTTTTCCAAAGGAATACTAGAGACAGAAGTAGCAATAAAGTTATACATGACAACCATCATCAGATGAAATAATTTAGATGAAGCTTGTTTCTCTCGAAGAGAGGGGACTGGGCAAGTGGTCATGAAGGAACTACAATGTGCTTTTAACTTTGTATAAAAAATAATGTTCAGTTCCATGCTGGTGAACATAGTTCTATTTTTGCCACATAAATCTTCTACTTCAAATTACTGTCTGAATGCTTTACTAAAACTCTGCTCCTGGCCTTTGTTTTGGAAACTGTTACTTTCGTTGCCACCTGCTGACCACTGTCCTCTGAAGCTTCTATTTCTTTCACACTGTCCCCTGACACCTTGGTTACCTTTGTGTTGTCCCCTGAAGCTTTGACCACCTTCCCGCTGTCCCCAGAAGTTGTGATATCCTTCCCGTGGTCCTTCTAGCTCTGGTTGCTCTGTGGCCAGAGAAAGCTGCCAGTGCTGTGACTCATGCCACTTTCCCTGAACTTCTGTTACTGATGCAGTAGGGATATCAAAGCAAACACCCTGCTTTCCTTTGAGAAAGACCATCCCCTTCACTTTGTAATCAATATCCTCACTCAGTTACTCTTTAAGTTCTTTCCAAGCATAACTAATGTTTGGCATTTCAAACATTTCAAAAAGCCCTGTAAGCACTTTCTAAAAGGAGGCTGCAGAGTAGAGTAGAGACTCTTTCCTGCGGGCTCTACTCTGGGACATGGCCAGACTTCAGATATATGCAGTCCAAAGCGTGAGTAGAGACTTTACCACTAACTATTTGTGTCACTTTGGAAAAGGTACTTAATGTTTCTATAACTCAGTT